TGCTCAAGGCCACGGAGCCCGGGCTGTTCAGCGTGTGGCCGCACAATGGCGAGGTGCGCACCGCCAGGCTGCTGAGCGAGCGCGACGCGCCCAAGCACAGGCTGCTGCTGCTGGTCAAGGACAATGGCGAGCCGCCGCGCTCGGCCAGCGTCACGCTGCACGTGCTGCTGGTGGATGGCTTCTCGCAGCCCTACCTGCCGCTGCCCGACGCGGCGGCGCCCGAGCGCGCGCAGCCCGACCGCCTCACTGCCTACTTGGTCATCGCGCTGGCGGCCGTGTCTTCTCTCTTCCTCTTGTCTCTGCTGCTCTTCGTGGCCGCCAGGCTGTGCAGGAGGAGCAGGGCGCGCTCGCTGGCCGGCTGCGCGCTGCCCGATGGCCCCTTGCCTGGACACCTGCTGGACGTGAGTGGCACGGGGACCCTGGCCCACAGCTACCAGTATGAGGTGTGTCTGCAGGGAGGTGCTGGCACCAATGAGTTCAATTTCCTGAAACCCGTTATTCCGAATAGTCTTTTTCAAGAGTCTTAAGGCTCTGGCTTTGTAGTACATGAAGAATTAAAACATTTCCTTTCCTTTTTGTTGTTTTCACATCCATACTGCTCTGATTTTTTTATGTTTTATTTTCAATCAGTTCTTCAGGTAATGCCTCTTTTGTTCTTAGTAATGGACAGGAATAATGAACTCATTGTTTTACTGGTGATTTCAAATAGGTCTACTTAACTTATTGAAATTATGTATTTTAAAGCACGCAGAATATGTGGACTTAAATGTGTAAATCTTAAATGTTTCAAAGTACTAGTTTCACACCAGGCATAGTTTTGTTTTATCAGATATTTAATTGTAAATGCAAAAACACATCATGAAATCCAAATTCATTTCCCTATATAACATACAGTTCCCATTATACTATATTTTCCAAAGTGAAGGTTTCCATTTGTTTTCTGTTGTACTTGCATATATTTACCCCACTTTAATTCTTCTATTTTACTTATTACTTTTCTGTTTATCCCCTTTTGATTTTCATGTTATTTTTAAATTTAATCGTTATGGTGATGTACAGAGGGGTTACAGTTGCATATGTAAGGTAATGAGTACATTTCTTGCCTAATATTTTTAATCCTTGCTTGCCTAATATTGTTAGCCCCTCCCTCATTTTCTCCCACCTTCTTTCTCCCTACTACTTTCCCTCCAAGTTGTAGAGTTCATTTCCAACAAAGTGTCTTGTGAGTATTGTTTCATTGGATTCTCATGTTCTTTTCTCCTCTAAATTCCATATATGAGGAAAACTTATGATACTCTTGTTTTGAGTTTGGCTTGTGTAGGATAACCGGATTTTCTCCATTCCCACCCATGTACTGAAAACTGAATACTTTGATTCTGCTGTATGACTGAACAAAACTCCATACTGTATTTCCAATAATATTCCTAGTACATCTTCAGTTAATGGCCTGTAGGGAAAATGATGAAGTGTTTAAGAACAATTAATTCCCTTTTAGGCTCATAGTACCCAAATGAAAAGAAGACATTTGATTCATTCTCTTTATTGACAGTTACAATTAATATTTTGTTAGTGTTGTACTTCCAATGAACAAAAGAATGAATGTATACAGTAAACTCCTCTTAAGTGATTATAGTTATTCAAAGCATATTCACAATGACTGAGGACATAATTAAACTGAAACCATTTTAAACATCGGAGTGTGCTATTTTGCATGAGACATTATTATGGCATGAGCGATGACAGTTGGCTTGTAAATTCAGAGTTGCAATCGTGACGACCCCTTTCACATGTAATCTCACAAAGATACATAGATGTATCTTGACCATGGAATCCTACTTCATTATTCATGATTCCCGGACATACATAGCGTGATTTAGAAGGGAACTATTTTCTTCTTCCTTACTTTTCCTTGTTTACACTACAATATAATATTGGTTTGGGATTATTTACAGTCCTTTTCAAATAAAAATTGTCCATACTCATCAGCATTCTACTTTCAACATTGTAATTACAAGAAGCTGAATGAGCCATGTACCATTGGCTCCTGTAATTACTGTAAATCCTGTAATTACTCTTGTAATCCTAGCTACTCAAGATACTGAGATCTGAGGACCATGATTTGAAGCCAGTTGGGACAGAACAGTACCCATAATTTTCTTATCTCTAATCGGTCACTCAAAAACTGTTGGTCCTGTGGCTCAAGTGGTGGAACACTAGTCTTGAGCACAAGAAGACACAGGGACAGCACCCAAGCCTTGAGTTCAAGCCCCCAAATCAACAAAATAATGAAGCTGAACAAAAAAATACCAAAGGAAAACAAGACCACACTAAAGCTACCAGCACAACTATGTTTATTGCAGCATTATTTACCATATCTAAGATATGGAACCAACCCAGATGCCCCTCAGTAGATGAATGGATCAAGAAAATGTGGTATATATACACAATGGAATTCTATGCCTCCAT